TATTCAAAGTTGATATTTTTTATTCCAGTGGAAAAACTTCATGAAGAGACCGAGGTCCCCATGCAACAAGTACAAGTACGAACTTTCTCCGGAAGAAAAATTTTGTGAATGAGGGAGCTTTGAATAGCCATTCTTGAAATGTTGACACTTATTGTTGGAATTTTTGGAAACTCTGAATAGAAAAGACCAGAAACTGACATCTGACGAAGACAAAGGTCGAAACGAACAGTCAGCTCGAGAAAGTTCGTACTTGTACTTGTTGCATGGGGACCTCGGTCTCTTCATGAAGTTTTTCCACTGGAATAAAAAATATCAACTTTGAATATACTGTTAAAATATAAAGAACTTGTTCAGCAATATGTTAATTTTGTACCAACTGGCAAACCAGACACAGACGCAGTATGTTAAAATGCTCTCTATTGAGCAACGATAGGAGGACATCAGTATTTTCTCACTCAAGTTATTTTTCTTTAAAAGTCTGAGAAAAAAGAGCCTCTGCTGGGCCTTCTTCACCAGAGCAGTGGTGTTAGCACTCCAGGTCAAGTTTTGCTCAATGATCACTCCCAAAAACTTAAAAGTAGCCACCCTCTCCACACGTTCTCCTCCAATAAACAGTGGCTGGATGTCCGTTTTGTTCCTCCTATAATCCACTACTAATTCCTTGGTCTTGGTGGAGTTGAGGATCAAATTATTTTCCCTGCACCATGTAAGTCATATGCTCCTCCTACGTGCCTAAAGTCCCGCAGAAATGCAATCTGACACATCCAATGTATCCATTCCCCCCTTAGCAGAATAATACCTGATCTTAAACCAGCCTCACCTTGAACTCACTGGGCACAATGAGTTTGGGAGTCTCCAAACCAAGGACAGCATCAATCCCACAGAAGATGAGGATGGCCAGGATTATGGCAAAATCACCGACAAGCCTCCTAAACTAAGAAACCAGGCCAAAGAATTAGCAGAAGAGCAAAACAAAGTCTGCACACAGCCTCCATCTTGGACAGTCTTTGGACTCTAAACTTTAAAAGAAGTAAAGCAAAGAGAACACAAGAAAATTTAGGGCACCTTCCTTTCTTTTGATAAATGACATATATTTAGCCTTTATGATGGCTTCAGGTGGCAGCTGTGTGAGTTTGTCTGAAGCTCTAGGGATATTTGCAGCAGGCTTTGGGATAAGTAGGGCCCCGCAGGGCTCTTTTTGTAGAAAAAGCCCAGCAGGAACTCATTAGCATAATAGGCCACACCCAACAGCAGGAACTCATTAACATATTAGGCCACACCCCTGACAGCACAGCTCATTGACATATTAGGCCGCACCCCCATGTTACCAGAAGTGTGCTCATCCAGCCACACCCACCTATTGCTTCTTATTCTCTTTACCTTGTTTGTTGTCAAAACCCAGGGCTTTTTGCATGTCAGGCCACACACCCCTAATTGTAGCCAATCTGAATGAGTTTCTGCTGTTGGGTGTGGCCTATTATGCTAATGAGTTCCTGCTGGGCGTGGCCAGCTTGGGAGCCAGCCGGAACTCCGTTCCTGTGCATTCCTTGTGGCCTATTATGCTAATGAGTTCCTGCTGGGCGTGGCCAACTCGGGAGCCAGCCGGAACTCCATTCCTGTGCGTTCCTGCCCAAAAATAGCCCTGAGTAGGGGGTTTTATGAAACAAAGTAAGTGGGCCACAGTAGGTGCGGGAAAGGACTCCAGGAACTGTAAAGCTATGGAGCCCTGCTTTGTGGGAAGTCGCCTGGGTCCTACACAGCCAAGAAGCATTGTGATTTTTTAAGAGAAAAGAGGGATGGAAATACTAAAAACAGGTTCAGCATACGTTTTTAAAGTTGTTGCACCCTTCGCTCCCTTCTCGCGCGGTCCACTCTGCCAAGGTTGGGGTGACGATTTACACTGCGGTGGACCGGAAGGCCTTCTGCTTTACTTGGGGCTCAAACCAAAACCTGGGAGACGAGGCAGCAGGGCAAAGGTGCTAGCCACTTTTCTCCTGTTCCTGCCCGTAATAATTTCTTGCAGCAGCAGCAATAACAGCAACGGTCTTTGGAATGGAGCCCACAGAGCCATTCGGCTAATGGCGGGCCCTTCCCCTGACACAAGACCCTAAACACACGTGCCTCCCACCACAGGAAGGTGCCGCTGTTAGTGGAACAGATCCCATGGGATCCAACCCACTGTGCCTGGCAAAGTGGATCTGCCCCCATGTTGATCATGAAAGAAGTAAAACTGGGCTACACCCAGGCAGTGGAGGGGTCTCTTCCTGTTGGGGATGCAGAAGAATAAGAGTTAACCCAAATAATGGCACAGTGAGGACTGAACGAGTCCGGGAGCCACGATACGGCAACAGCAGGGAAAGGGAAACCAGGCTGTGCAAATTCTGGGCAGTTTTGGGACTGCTTGAGGGATAGATTTTTTTGGGGGGGGGCTTTCCTTACGAGCCCCCGGCTTACAAGCAGGTGACTCAGGACAAGGCAACGGGAGGGGCAAGAGGCACTCACCATTGTGGGGAAATAGCGGCTCGTTTTGAAGCTTTTCAGCATCATGGAGCAGAGGAATGTCCCCACGAACAGAATGAAAGACATGAAGGCGACGTCAGGCACGTAATTGCAGCTCTTGCCCACCAGGTGGCCACCTAGCTGCACACACTCGTCCTTGGTCAGCAGGGACCAGTTCCCTGACTCCAAATCAGCCTGCTGCGAAGAAGGAAGGAAGGAAGCAACAATCAGATTAGCAAGGGAGTCCCCGTCAGACGTGAGGAAGGTGCACCGTGAGCTGTGAATGGACCGCTGGAAACGCCTCCCGAAGGGAAGTCATGGATCCAGGGCTTTTTTTGTACAAAAAGCCCAGCAGGAACTCATTAGCATATTAGGCCACACCCCTTACAGCGCAACCCATTAGCATATTAGGCCACGCCCCATGCCTTCCCTTGGCTTGCCTGGGCACCCCGTGGCTGTGGGGAGCTTAGGCAAGGCCCTCCGATCCTTCCAGGGCCCCCCCTGCCTGCCCACCTTGGAATTGCAGGGGGAGGGTCACTTTCCAGGCCTTCCCTCTGTAGACACGCATGCAGAGGTTTTGGCTGTAGTGGGCATGGCCAACTCTGAAGCCAGCCGGAACTCCGTTCCTGTGCGTTCCTGCCCAAAATGAGCCCTGGATGCTGCAGTGTTGCAGAATGTAGAGACACCCGGTGTAAACCCCCTTGTGCTTGGGCCACTTCCACCCAGTGCCCTGTATGTCACTGTCAGGCACCCCCTCTGCCAGTGGCTGCGCCTCCCATTGCAATTAGATGGACCTTGCCCACTGTGATCCTACTCCCCCCCCCCAATGCTTTGAATCTATGAAAGGGGCTGGTGATGATCTCAGAAACGATAGTAATCAGCAGAAGAGTCATGATGCTGGGCGGGACGGAACAAGCAGGAAAACGCCAAAGGAAGAGCGATGTGGGATATCTGATGAGCCACGAGGCTACGTGTTACCTCCTCTGATATGTGAGAAAGGTGGAGATTCTTTGATGGGAAGCAGAAGAAGCAGAAGCAGAAGCGATTGGATTTATACCCTGCCCTTCACTCGGAGTCTCAGAGCGGCTTACAAACTCCTTTCCCTTCCCCTCCCCACAACAGGCACCCTGTGAGGTGGGTGGGGCTGAGAGAGCTCCTTTGAGGACTGCTCTTGAGAGAACAGCTCTGGGAGAACTTGTGGCCGACCCAAGGTCACACCAGCAGCTGCATGGGGAGGAGTGGGGAATCGAACCCGGTTCTCCCAGATCAGAGTCCGCGCTCCTAACCACGACACCAAACTGGCCCCCAGTCCTTCCCTGGTGGACTTGCATTAACCAGAGCATGCGATAAGAGTGCCAGGCTTTGGTTCCCTCTCATTCACCCCCAGCCCATGAGGGCGATGTGATTTCTTACCTGTCCAAAGCTGCGGGAGGCCGGGAACAGCGTCTCGTTCAGAAGAGAGGAGTTGCCTGCAAGAAACAGCCAAGCCAAGACAACAGGTCTCATACGCATGAAGCTGCCTTATACCGCGTCGGACCACCGGTCCATCGAGGTCAGCAGCTCTCCACAGTCTCCGCAGCTCTCCACGGTCTCAGGCTGAGGTCTTTCACGTCACCTCCTGCCTGGTCCTTTTCACTGGAGATGCCGGGGATTGAACCCGGGACCTTCTGCGTGCCAAGCAGATGCTCTCCCACTGAGGCATGGGCCCTCTCCTCACCCTGAATCTCAGGGTGCTTTTTGACAGAACTGATTCAAATTTCGGAGGATCCCTTGCTGCAATTTGCTGCTGACTTCAGGACCCACGGGACCGGACAGCTCTGTCTGACCTTGCCAACAGCACGGGTCAAGGATAGGCTTTCTTTAGCCTGCCTGGCCTAAAAGGGGCCAGTGCAAGACTAGGCCATCTATATGGAGTCAATCACATGCAGCGTGTTGGGTGTTACAAGTCAAAACACTTCAGTATTTACAGGGTTAATGATGTTTGTTAAGTCACATGTTTGTTTGTAACCAATCTGTTTAGACAATGGAATGCCCGGGAACTTTGGGGCCAATTTGCTAGTCTGATTGGAAACCAAGGTGTCAAGTATTTTAGCATATTGGCTTCTCCTCCCGTTCTTTGTTCTGAGTGAGAAGGAGACGCCATTCGGCTCTTCCCGTTTTACCTTTAGCTGTAAGGATGTAGGCATATTAGCTCTTTGTTATTTTCATATCCTGTGTACCTTTTCCCCATGTTAGGTTTATAGTAAACTTTTATATTTTAATACACACCATGGACTCAGTCTCTTAATACTCTGCTGACTTACTCAATAAGAATCCCTAACACAGCGACATGTTGTCCCTGAAGAGCGGCAACCATTCCGGCCCACCCACCGCCACGGCCCAGGCTGCTTGACCCTACCTCTCTCTGGCCCGCGGCAGGCGCAACCGTACAAGGGGACGTCGCTGATCCTGTAGTCCCAGTTGATGGGGAAGTGTTCCGCCAAGGAGAGCATCTTCTTGACCGCGTCGTAGATGAAGATGAAACTGATGAGGGCGCAGAAGCCTTCCTCCGTGAAGCGAGTGAAATACTGCACCAGGTAGCTGGCTTCGGTCGCCACCAGAATGAGGCCAAAGAAGGCCACCCAGAGCCCGATCCAGAGGCGGAATTCTAAATAGTCAAAGCTGTAATCTCTGCCGGGAAAGAGAGTCCAAAATGGCATCCTTGAGCGGGCTGGCAAGGGGGTTAGGGGCCAGGCATCCCCTCCCATCTCTTTGCCCAAGAATCTTGCAACGTGCGGAGCATGCTAGGGACTCAATCCTACAGCATACGAAAGACTTCATCCTACAGGACTTAATTCCACACAACAGGAGACTGACGGCCAGCAGTCTCCAGTGGTGAATCCCCATAGAGAATTGCCTGGTGGGCGAGGACTGCAATGCTCCCTCTAAGCTGTGGAGTCTTGTGAGCAAAAATTCCACTTCGTGAGCTACCGGCATTAAAGCGATGAGCAGTGATGTGACTACTGCATCAACTAGTTTGCTCTGGAGCCCTCCTTCCTGAGCGAAGAGAAAAATGTGTGAGCCGGAGGCTAAAAGAACTGTGAGCTGGCTCACACTCACTCAGCTTGGAGGGAACACTGGCGAGGAGGTCCCTTGTTGAGGGATTTCCCGGAAGAGGAGCAGGCGTGCAGGCAGATAATTCTAGGGCCAAATTAGATGTGTGACGTTTTCCCAAGAGTTCTCCCCACTCAGCTCTCATACAGTCAGAAGGCAGCTGTCGGTGACTACGTTTCGTGGACCAGAGACCACAACATGAGATGCCTCCTGCATTACCCTCAGTGCTCATTAAATCATCGAAGGAGTAACACTAGAGGGCTGGGCACAGAAAACGCTGGGCGTTTGTGGGCAGCAGCCAAGTAACATCCGGGCTGGGTTTGTGTTCTCCTCTGCCTGCAGGTGCTTAAGCCTGGGGGTGGCCAGAAGCGCGATCAGAGGGGCCCTGTTTGGTGTAGTGGTTAGGGGCGTGGACTCTAATCTGGGAGAACCGGGTTTGATTCCCCACGCCTCCACACGCAGCCGCTGGTGTGACCTTGGGCCAGTCACAAGTTCTCTCAGAGCTGTCCTCTCAAGGGCAGCCCTTGAAAGAGCTCTTTCAGCCCACCTCCCTCATAGGGTGTCTGTTGTGGCCTTTCTTCGCAGTTGCTTCTCAGCTGGGAGTGAGGATAACGTGGGTCGGAACCAAAGAACTGGCTTTGTTAGTTCTGGAGTTTAGATGCTGCTTGTAGTATTTCCCTGCATTCCTGGCAGGAAGTGCCAGTGGAGCCTGAGAGCAAATTGCAGAAGAGGCAACAGTGACTGCTGATTTGCTTGATCCCTACCATGGCTTTCCCTCTGCTCCAGGGATGGTTGTATTATCCAGTTTGGTGTAGCGGTTAAGAGCGCAGACTCTAATCTGGGAGAACTGGGTTTGGTTCCCCACTTCTCCTCCACATACAGCCAGCTGGGTGCCCTTGGGCAAGCCACAGTTCTCTCAGAGCTCTTTCCCTCTCCCTCCTCTCCCTCCTCTCCCTCCTCTCCCTCCTCTCCCTCCTCTCCCTCCTCTCCCTCCTCCTCCTCCTCCTCCTCTTCCTCTTCCTCCTCTTCCTCTTCTTCTTCTTCTTCTCTCTGAAACTCCTTTGGGTAGTGAAGGGCAGGGTATAAATCCAACCTCTTCTTCTTCTCTTAGCCTGTGGCTTGCAGCCTCGGCGCTATGCAAGCCGGCCCAGTGGATCAGGACCACCCAGGACGCGTTTGTTTACTTGTTTCCCTTTCTTTACATTATATTGTTTGAAAACTCCTATAAGCTGCTTTGGGTTGCTTGTGGGGAGAAAGGCGGCCACAAGAAAGGCCCTAAGCAAATAAATAAATAAATAAATAAATAAATAAAACAGCGCCAGGCCCCCCAGTTTGACTCAGGGCCACACAAGGGCAGTGGGTGACTTCATGCTTTCCCTTCGCATCATTTCCCGGAGAGAAATCCACCCCCCGAGAAAAATCTATTGGCCCCTGTGGGGGTGGGGGGATGATTTGCCTGTATTGTTTGCCTGTTGGGGTAACAGCTGTTCAGGGCGAGAGGGCAATTTCTGTACGGGGGGAAAAAGAGCAACGAGAAAGGGTTAACCCCAGCCCACTGCCTCTGCCCTGCGGCCCTGGTTGAAATCAAGGCTGCCCTCCCCCCACGGCTGCTCCTAAAGAAAATTAGAGACATCAGGTGATTGCTCGGATCCCTTCCAGCTGAGCCTATAGGAGAAGTGACCCTGATTGGGGCTGGCATCGGGAGGGGGGGGCTTGCCACGTGCTGGCTGGCTCCGGAGTGTTCCGGAATGGAACTGACAACAGGACCCATTCTGCAGAAGCATTATGGCGGTACTGGGCAGTGGGGAAAGACCCCAACCAGTCGTGTGGGGTGCTACAGTCACACTAGGAGCCAGGAGAAGGAGAACAGGTTTCGAGACCCCACTTTTCTCTCCCTTAAGGCATCTCCCAGCGGCCTACGATCGCCTTCCCCTCCTCTCCCCACCACAGGCTCCTTGTAAAGCAGGTGGGTCTGAGAGAGCTCTGAGAGAACAGTGACTGGCCCAAGCAGGCTCCATGTGGAGGAGGAGTGGGGGAATCAAGCCCCGCTCTCCAGATTGGAGCCCACCCCTCTTAGCTGCTACACCACGAAGGTTCAAGGAAGAGGCTGCACCCGGACAGATCAGCAGGATGAGTTTCGGTAGGATCTTCCTCCTCCCAGAGGTGCCTCTGCCCAAGAACTGTCTGTATTCCTGGGAGAAGTGGAGCACGAGCACAGGCCGCGATGCGGGCGTACTTACTTGCTGAAGGAGAAGAGAAGCCGTTCAAAGACAAGGACAGGCCCGGTGCTGCTCAGGATGGTGAGAGGCTGGCCGGAGCACAGGCAGAAGAAGGCTCCAGCGATGGCAGTGCCAAGGAAGCTCTCCAACACCCCCTATATCATATAGGGAAGAAGGAGGAGGAGGAGGAGAAGGAGAAGAAGAAAGAAGAAGAAAGAAGGAGAAGGAGAAGAAGGAGGAGGAGGAGAAGAAGAAAGAAGAAGAAAGAAGAAGAAAGAAGGAGAAGGAGAAGAAGAAGAAAGAAGAAAGAAGAAGAAAGAAGAAGAAAGAAGGAGAAGGAGAAGAAGAAGGAGGAGGAGGAGAAGAAGAAGGAGGAGAAGAAGAAGGAGAAGAAGGAGGTGAAGGAGGAGGAGGAGGAGGAGAAGAGGAGGAGGAGGAGATTGGATTTATACCCCACCCTTCACTCAGAGTCTCAGAGTGGCTTACAGTCTCCTTTCCCTTCCGCTCCCCACCACAGACACCCTGTGAGGTAGGTGGGGCTGAGAGAGCTCCGAGAGACCTGCTCTTGAGAGAACAGCTCTGAGAAGACTGTGAGTGGCCCAAGGTCACCCAGCAGCTGCATGTGGAGGAGTCGGGAATCAAAGCCGGTCCTCCCAGATTAGAGTCCGTACTCCTGACCACTACACCGAACTGGCTCTCACACAGCTCTGGTTGCCAGGATTCCTTTGGCTGGGGCAATCTGCCCCCCCCCCCGCCCCCAGTAGCAAGCCTGCCTGGGGCTGCCAGAGTGGCCTGCCCTCCCGCTGTCAGCCAGTGTGCTGAGGCAGCCCTCTTTGGGGAAAAGGAGCCGTGGAGGGGAGTAAGGCTTTTCCCAGCCCCAGCAGGACCCTTGCACAGACCTGCATGTTATCCGTCGCGTCGCCCAGCATCCCCCCAAAGGTGATGGCATTGGTGACGGTGGCCAGGTAGATGTAGAGAGCGGCCGAAAAGCACTGGAGGTTCAACACATCGTAGAAATCGCTGCAGTACCAGGGCGCTTTCCGTTGGATATCCTTGATTAACCCCCCGAAGAGTCTGCGAGAGAAAGGGAATCCCGCTGGGTTAGGGCTCCTGGGGACGTAGTTTCCTTCGGAAGCTGCACCCTGCCCCAAAACCCTTAGGGAAAGGCCGAGCCGGAACTGAACCCGCCTGATACACAAGCCCGAGTGCGGCTCCAGCGCACAACTACCACTGTGGTGTCTCCGTATCTGCTCGCTTCCCTACTTTGGAGGTCTAGGATAGCCTCTCTCTCCAGTTCTATCAGGCAGTGTTCCCTCTAAGCTGAGTGAGTGTGAGCTAGCTCACAGTGTTTTAGCCTCCAGCTCACAAATTTCTGTCTTCGCTCAGGAAGGACGGCTCCAGAGCAAACTGACTGATGCAGTAGCCAAACAGTTTGCTCAGAACTTTTATGCCAGTAGCTCACAAAGTAGAATTTTTGCTCACAACATTCCACAGCTTAGAGGGAGCATTGCTATCAGGTATTTTTTAATAATATTTGATGGACCAGTGATTGTGATGCCGACAAGGTGCTGTCTGACTGTTTGAACAGAATGTAAACCTGCACTTCGATGTTTTGCTTGGTTGACACCTGTTTTTGATCATATTTCATACCAATATTTATATAACAGGATAGAAAAATTTAAAAAATAAAAATAAAAAGCACAACATTGATTTACCTTGAACATACATCCATTATAGAAGAAGATGAAGAGAAGAGATTGGATTTATACCCCGCCTTTCACTACCCAAAGGGGTCTCAGAGCGGCTTACAAACTCCTTTCCCTTCCCCTCCCCACAACAGACACCCTGTGAGGTCGGTGGGGCTGAGAGAGCTCTTGACAGAAACTGCTCTTATCAGAACTACGGCTTGCCCAAGGTCATCCAGCCAGGTGCAAGTGGAGGCGTGGGGAATCAAACCCGGTTCTCCCAGATTAGAGTCCGCGCACTGAACCACTACACCCAACTGGCTGTAAAGGTAAAGGTAAAGGTCTCCCTTGCTCGAAAGCCAGTCGAGTCCGACTCTAGGGTTGCGGTGCTCATCTCCGTTTCAAAGCCGAAGAGCCAGCGCTGTCCGAAGATGTTTCCGTGGTCATGTGGCCGGCGTGACTAAACACCAAGGCGCACGGAACGCTGTGACCTTCCCACCAAAGTGGTCCCTGTTTATCTACTTGCCATTTCTTGCTTTCGAACTGCTAGGTTGGGAGGAGCTGGAGCCAGAGACAGGAGCTCACTCTGTCATGCGGCGCACTCGGGTCTCGAACTGCTGAACTACCGACCTTCCACAGCCTGTAGTTCAGCGCCTTAGCCACTTGAGCCACCGCAGCTCCTTTCAAACCGGCTAGACACAGTGCTATACACTTTTGCATAACCTCCAGGTGGGGCCTGGTTATCTCAAGGAATTATAACTGATCTCCGGATGACAGAGACCCGTTCCCCTGGAGGAAACGGCAGTTCTGGAGGGGGGGCTCTATGGCGTTACACCCTGCTGAGGTCCCTTCCCCCCTCCCCATATCCTGCCCTCCCCAGGTCGAATCTCCAGGAATGTTTCAACCTGTCGTTGGCGACCTACCTATCATCTCCTGGGCCGCACCACTGCTGGCTGAGTCCCAGCAGATTCCCCAAAGGCCTCAGGCAGGGCTTGACTGGGATCCAGCCAGTGGAGGTCCAGCCCAGGAGGCGATGCCCCCTAGCCAGCGCCCACGGCCCTGATGCCTAAGGGCCAACCGAGCCCTAATGGAGCATCGATGCCCTTCGCATTGGGCACTCTCAGGCATCTGCTTAGGTGGCCAGGCCAGTGTCAGCTACGCTGCCACGAGTGTGGAGATATTTTCTAATTGCTTTGCATTCCTTCCCATGCGCATAATTGCTTCAAAGCTGTAACGCTGATCTTTGATGTTGTACTGGTGGAGAATGTGGTGTCTATCGTCCGTGGGAGCTTCTCCGTTCCCAGCTCCACAGCCGTTAGAGAGTCCAGCAGTCTCCCGTGCGCGGGAGCCCACTTAATTGGTTATTGCTATGGGGTGTGTGTGTGCATACGAATGCCCTATATCCTATTATGCGCACAGGTATCCCGCCATTCCTAACAGTGTTCGTGTTCTTGCATCTGTGGCTTCTCAATAAAAGTAAAACCTTCCTGGAAGCGTGTGCCTCGTTGTTTAGCTGTGGGTCCTGACAGCCAGAGAGCCTACCCCGGAGTGCACCCCACAACCTTCCGCCCTGCTCCAGCCGACTGTCTCTATGAACTTTACCTTCCTGTCCTCTTCAGCTCCTCACTGGCGAGCTGGGGCCCGTGGAGATGGCGCTCTTCCATGGCAGACACGTTCCCGTTAGAATGCGGGCTCCATTCCCGGAAGTGCATGGAGATCCTGCGAGGGGGAGAAGGAATGTTTCCAGGGGGCTGCGGGAACTTGGCCACTGTTGAGGCTCAGCCTTGTTCTCCATCCCCGCCTGCCACTGGCCGGCTCCAGTTATTCCCCCCCCCCCAGTCCTCCACAGGCTTCTGCTCCCTCAGACCACAATGCCGATAGCACGACATTTTACAAAGTCCACATTGTCTCTGTGGTGGTCAGTGGCAGCAGTGTTGTTGCAGAGAGACTGCTGTTCCGCCCCCCCCCCAATGGAAATAAACAAGTGCACGGAGCCCTGCAGGATCTGTAGGAATGCTTGCCTGCCTCCAAAAAGCAACAGGGCTGCACGGTGGAGTGGAGGGGCTGGTCTTCCACCAGCGAGAAGCAGGGGTCGTTTTGTAGAAAAAGAGCTAGGGGAACTCATTAGCATAACTCATTAGCATATGCCACACCCCCTGACATCACCGGAAGTGTGTCATAAGGCTACACACCCCGTCCCCAATGGTCCCGGCCACCACCGGCGGCCTTGCAGCTCCATTGTCGAGCCCCATGAGGGGCCCGGCGGTGGACCCGCAAGGCCGGCGGGAGGGCAAGGAAGCCACGCAGAGGCCCTCCCTGGCCCCAGGCAGGCAGGGCTGGGGAGAGGCAGGGAGGAAGCAACTTACCCTCCCTCTTCTCCTGCCTCCTCCTGGCTGAATGAGGGCCGGAAGCGGGGCGGCCGGAAGCAGGGGGTGGGGCTTCGTCATGTGCCCCGCCCCCCGTACCTCACCCGGGGGAACTGCGATCCCCCGCGATCCCCCCCGAAATGACCTCTGGCGAGAAGTAAAGAGAAGCAGAACAGTCTCCAGCTCAGAGGACGGGTGGCTGACAGCGGGGCCAGACAGTGACTCAAGTGCTGTCAAAGGAGCATGATTCCATTTCCCCAGTTGTGTTTTTCTCCCTGCCATTTAAGTTCTCTGGCGCGCAAAACAATCACATGTTCCCAGCACTAAATATAGCTTCTGGGATGCTGGAGAAATGCAATATCCAGCCAGTGGATGTGCCAGCAGATGAAAATCTCTGGCTCCTCCAACACAGATGACAGAGAGGAGGAGTTGGAGGAGCTGGTTTTATACCCTGCCCTTCACTACTTAAAGGAGTCTTGGAGTGGCTTGCAATCACCTTCCCTTTCTCTCCCCACAGCAGGCACCCTGTGAGGTAGGTGGGGCTGAGAGAGCTCTGAGAGAACGGTGACTGACCCAAGGTCACCCAGCTGGCTGCATGTGGAGGAGTGGGGAATCAAACCCGGTTCTCCAGATTAGAGTCTGCCGCTCTTAGCCGCTACACCACACTGGCTCTCTCTATGCCAAACTGGGGTTCTATTGCCCCGATCTCATCAGATTCACCAGCATTTGATCTGAGCTTCTCTCCCCCACCCCCTGCTCTTCTTTGCACGTACCTCTTCTGCGGGGAGGGCAAGCATTTGGGGGGAGCAATGCGAATGGTTGGGTCCCATTTGCCTGGCGGGAGGATGGTCAGTTCATCCAGAAACTCATCGATTCCGGCAACGAGATCTTCGGTGCTTTGTGCCTTCCGGGCAACGCGCTGGAAGAGCTGGGAGAGGAAAGCTGCGGTGTTAGTCTCAGCCCGGCCTCCTCTAGAACAGCGGTTCCCTATGTTTTATGCAAGGCGACCCACAAGTCCAATTGTGTTGTTTTTTTGGCACCCTGGGCAAACGATGACTTGGGCACCCATCTATAGTCCAGCATTCCATTTTCTACAGTGGCGAACCAGATGTTTTTGAGAAACCAACAAACATCATGCGGCAGGGGCAGCTGCCTCCGGTCCAATGTTCCCTCTAAGCCTGTGGGGTCCTGTGAGCAAAAATTCTACTTTGTGAGCTTCAGGCCTTAAAGTTGTGAGCGAGCCATTTGGCTGCCACATCAATCATTTTGCTCTGGAGCCCTCCTTCCTGAGCGAAGACAAAAATGTGTGGGCTGGAGGCTAAAAAACTGCGAGCTGGCTCACACTCACTCAGCTTACAGGGAACACCAGTCCCACTATAACGCCCAAGCAAGTGGCACTCCGACATACACAGCCTTTGCACATGGGGGTTACATTCCAGCCGCTGACCACCCGCTCCTTCTCCATTACCCCCTCTCGTCCCCTCTAAGATTCTCACTCACTCTAGCGACCACCAGGACACATTTTTACGTGATCAACATGTATATGCAGTGAAGAAAAAATATTAATTAATGTATGACATAGAAGATAGAGTTTCCAGGGTCAGCTCTTGGTTTCCAAAATGCAAAAGAGAGCAATGGAGACGGCAGGAGCAGCCATTAGGGAGGGCTGGTCCGTGACCCACTTTCAGAGGACGCGTGACCCACTTTTGGGTCCCTCCCAACCCACAGGTTGGGAAACACTGCTCTAGAATAATCAGTGCATCCTGCCGTCCAGAAGAACACATCCAGGAAAACCATTTCGCTTTATTTGTATTGCAAAACAGACATATGCCCTAAAATGCCAAATATACCACCCGGAATGACTTGTTGTACCCTAGAAATAGGTTTGCCACCTTTTAACCCAGTAAAGTATGGACAATTCCAGCCATTTGCTGTAACAAAGAGGCAAAGTTCTTAGATCCAGAGGCGTTAGCTGTGTTAGTCTGTTGCTGCAAAATCCAAAAAAAAAGCCCAGTAGCACCTTTAAGACAAACAAACTTTATAGTAGCATAAGCTTTTGAGAAACATAGGCCCCGTTCTCACAGAGGATTTGCCGTGCTAAAGGCAAGGATGTCAGGCGGATTTTCGGGGCACGATCACACCGCAACATCTGGGAAGCGTAGCGCACCCGTGGCCAACCCGTGGCATCCTGCTGAAGATATGCAGAAAAAAACTACCTCGGAAAGTGGACTAGTATCCAGAAAACGCGGGGCAGGGGTGGGCGTCTGATTACGGGAGCGCTAGTATCCCATGGCATCTGGCGCCCGTCGATGTCCGTTGCAAACTGGATGTTTTTCATAAGCACATGCGCACAAACACATAACTGAAAGGAATGCTGCTCCGCGGAACTCCGCATGTGCACAAACGCGAAACGCTTGCTACGCCGCTTCTTTGCCACGCTCTAGCATCGCCGTGTGATCACCAGCTAACAGCCTAAGCACAAAGACTCGGGGGACCGTGTGATCGGGCTACTGCGCTTTATTTTGCTCCGGGGCAAACAGCCACGCCTCCACCCCGCGTTATCTAGCCACTGATGGACCTCTGCTCCATATGTTTATCCAGTTCCCTCTTGAAGCCGTCCATGCTTGTAGTTGCCACCACCTCCTGGGCAGGGAATTCCATGTGTTAACCACTCTTTGGGTGAAGAAATACTTCCTTTTATCCGTTCTAACCCGACTGCTCAGCGATTTCCTTGAGTGCCCACGAGTTCTTGCATTGTGAGAAAGGGAGAAAAGTACCTCTTTCTCAACCTGCTTTATCCCACGCATAATCTTATTAACCTCGATCATGTCACCCCTCAGCCATCGTTTCTCCATACTAAAGAGCCCCAAGCACTTTAATCTTTCTTCATAGGGAAAGTGTTCCAACCCTTTGATCATTCTCGTTGCCCTTTTCTGCATTTCCACATGCCCTACCACCAAACTCACCTCATCTGTCAGGAGAGTGGCCACAGCTCTGCCGATTTCATGGTAGGCCTTCACTTTGACTCTGGGGCCCAACAGAATAAAGAGGAACCTAGAGAAAGCCACACAGACACAATGAGTTGGCCCCACAACTCCATCTGCTCCCATCTGGAACAAGCATCACGCTATGGAAAAAGTGCATGCAAAGAGGGTAGAATTCTGCCTGCCTTGCAAGAGCCCATGCTGTGCTAGATCAGCAGTCGTTTTGCCAGGATCCTCGGACTGAGCTGGTCTCATTGGCAGGAGCAGGATGGAATCTCCTGCCCTGGAGCACACTAGGATTGCCAGCTCTCTGGCTTATAGGGCTGCAAGGCCTCCTGACTGCAACTGCTCAAATCTGCCACTGCTTAGAGTGGCAGTGGAAGGAAAAAAGGCTTTTAAATTTGGCATCTTCTGCCTGGCTATGTCACCTCTGGGGAAAAACAGGAAGTGATGTAGGATAGCTTCAGGAATCGCCGGAACCTTATGGTAAAATCATAAGAGTTTCTGGCGATTCCTAGACGGGGTTCCTCCTGGGAATGACGTCACACCGTGCATGGCACTGGCTTTTTCCCCTCTCCCTGCTGCTTGGAGTGGCAGCGAGCAGCAGGTGTTTTGTTCAGTGGCAGAATTTATAGGTGCAATAATTAAATACCAGGGAAATAATACTAAGTAAGGTCTTTTTATTTTAATTTCTGCTTAAGGCGATAGCTGTATGAGCAGTGATAAACAGACAGACAGACAGATAGATAGACAGACAGACAGATGATAGATAGATAGACAGACAGATGATAGAAGATAGATAGATAGATAGATAGATAGATAGATAGATAGATAGATAGATAGATAGATGATAGAGACAGACAGACAGACAGACAGACAGACAGACAGACAGACGATAGAAGATAGAAAGAAGATAGAAGATAGTAGATAGATGATAGATAGACAGATGATAGAAAGAAGATAGAAGATAGTAGATAGATGATAGACAAACAGATGATAGAAAGATAGATAGAGGATAGATAGATGATAGACAGACAGATGATAGAAGATAGAAAGATAGAAGATAGTAGATAGATAGATGATTGATAGACAGACAAATAGACAGACAGACAGATGATAGAAGACAGAAAGATAGATAGAAGATAGTAGGTAGATAGATAGACAGACAGACAGATGATAGAAAGATAGAAGATAGATAGATAGATGATAGATAGATGATAGGCAGACAGACAGACAGATGATAGAAGACAGACAGACAGACAGTGTTTCTGACAGGAGGCCTAGCAACTTTAAGTTCACTCTCTGAAGCTGCTGTTTTCTCCAGGGCAACTGATCTCTCTTGTTTGGACATAAGTTGTAATTCTGAGAGATCTCAAGGCCGCACCTGGAAGCTGGCAACCCTAACATAGGGCTTCATGTATAGGGCACACGTTTCCCAGGAAGGGAGGGAGGTTAGTGGGGTAGATTGCTGTAGAGTCCACTGCCCCCCAGTCCTGTCAACAGACATGGTCTCTGGGAGTTCCATGCAAGCAGAACTTGATTCTCAGATGGGGGGTGGGGAGAGAGGAGAGGGTTAAGCCCTCCCCCCGACACCTAATCTGAAATGCCTCCAAGGAGTCAGCCCTGTTGGGGCAACTTATGTGCAGCCGATCGGAACATATAATTTCTCCAGTGGGGCAAACAGTGGCTCCCTGGAGCTATTCAGGTTGGAAAAATAGTGCGTAGAAGAAGGCTTAAGCCCCAAGTTTCCTATCCAAATTGGGTCCCCCCACATGCCTGGGAAAGGGGTTCCAAACAAAAACCACCCAGATGAACCTCAGTTGCTATGTCAGAAGGCCCCCACATGTTAATGCTGGGTGTCCAGGACTAGACTGACCCCCCTTCCTGCCCTGAGACAGCTTTTGTGGCTGTCCCACAGTGTGTGTCATTGTGGGTCTGAGCACTGAAGACTGCATTAGTTTCCAGTGGCAGCTCAGAGCTGAGAACTACGGGCAGGAACTTCTGTTACATGCCAGACATTCTTGTCACATGACCCTGCTTGCCCATTTGTTACCTGCTAGGAAAAGCAACCTCCGTCAAGCCCCCAAGGAACACAGCATCCTCCAAACGCACAAAGGCAATGAAAGGCTTCTCCAAGAAGCTGGCTTCCCCTACAAGAATGTTGGCCACTTCCGTCCCAGCTGGAATCTTCTTCTTAAAGCGGTTTTTCAGCTGCAAATGAAACAATGCAGAACTGGCAATCCACGGTCCCAGAAATGAAAGAAGATGTGAATGGATGGGGGACAAAATTTCCTGGGGCAGGTTGCTCTGGGAGACCAAGAGGCCATTCTGTCCACCTGGCTCATATGGCTCTCAGTTGTCACAACACCCGTAATCTCTGAGATTTAGCAATAGCTGGAAGCCTCTGTAGGTTCCTTCCTATCCTCTGTAGGACCTGGAATTCACAGCACGTGCTCCTCTGCAGCCAAGGGGAACTTGCTCTCGGCCCCGGTCACACGAGCGGGATAATCCGCAGGTGAAGGGAGGCTTTTAGAGCCGGAGCAAAATGACGCGTGGTAGCACGATCAGACCGTCCCCCAAGGCTCCGTGCTCAGGCCTTTGGCAGCCGATCACACGAAGCCAGGCAAAACGGCAGTAACACGCTTGTGCACATGCATGGGACGCCGATGGGCGCTGGCTGCGACAGGTGACCAGTGCTGCCTGATCAGACGCCCACACGCGCCGCACGTTTTCCGGAAGATACTGCATGGTTCCCCATATCTTTTAACTCCACTTTTTCGGGCCGAAGCTACAGATTGGAGACGGGCGCGCCACGCTTCCCAGATGTTGAGGTATGATCGCGCCCATTTAATCCGCAGGCAAGCCCTCCCTCTCGTGAGGCAAATTCTCCGTGTGACCGGGGCCCTCGTTTACAACAAAAGTCTAAAAGTGGGTGACTATTTCCTCCTCTGCTTCATTCAGAATTAGTGCGGTTCCTCTCTCCCTCCTGTGTATGTGTGTGTATTTCCCTTTGGGTTGTCAACTCCGGGTTTGGAAAATACCAGGAGATGTTGGAGGTGGAGTCTGGGGAGGGAGGGTTTGGGGGAGGGGCAGGACCTCAGGGTGGTATAACGCCATACAGTCCACCCTCCGAAGCAGCCATTTTCTCCAGGGGAACCGATCTCTGTCGCTTGGTGATAAATTCTAATCCCAGGGGAATCTCCAGGCCCCACCTGGAGGCTGGCATAGGACTGCCAAGTGGGGGCAGGGGGCGGGTAAACCCCTGTTTCAGAGGCCCGATTTCCGCCGCTGCGGAATCAGGCCCCGGGGGGAACTCCGCCCCCCGAAGCGCAGCGTGGCTGCGTCACTCTATGGTTTTCCCTCCGACGATCGGGGCCATGCCTTCAACGTGATCGACGTCGCGTGTCACTTCCGGTGATGTGCTGGCGGCGCGCATGCGCACATCAACGGACGGCTCCCAGAGCCCGGCAAGGCTCCCCTGCCGGTAAGACAAATTGACTTGGCAACCCTAGGCTGGCAGCCCACGTTTCCATCTTCTTTCCTATGTGGGCAGAAGGAATGTTTCTCAGAGGGCCTGTCGGGGCTTTCAGCAGCCCTGAGCACCGGGGCTTCTACAGCGGAGAAAGCACCCTTTTCCACCACTTATTTTTGGTAGGGTGCATGAGCAAGCACGTGTCATGGTGACAGTCTCCGACTAAGATCTGGGAGAACCAGGTTTGAATCCCACTCAGCCATGGAAACTTGCTGACCTGGGCCTAGTCTGGGGCTGCCAGGTCCACCTGGCCACCTGTGTGGGGCAGGGAGGGGTAAGGTTGCCAGCTCCAGGTTGGGAAAGTCCAGGTGATTTGGGGGCACAGCCTGGGAAGGAAAGAGTTTGATGAAGGGAGGGACTTCAGTGGTGTCTTAAGCCAGCCCTCCAAAGCAGCCATTTCTTGATCTCCATAGTCTGGGGATGAGCTGTAATTCCAGAGGATACCCAAGTCCTACCTGGTATCCCTAGGCTAGTCGCATGCTGTCAGCTTAACTGACCTCACAACTGGACTCAAAATTTGTTCTACAACCTCACAGTGTTCCTGTGAGGATAAAATGGAGGAGATGAGAACGAGGTGAGGTGTTTTGGGTCCCTCAGTGGGGAGAGACATTGTGTACAACTGCAATGAATCCTCAGTGGAATAGCCCATCCTCATGTCATGGAGAGCTCAGCCTTGTGGAGCAGCTCTCCTGCGTGCCTCTGGGGTGAGGAACCGAGGAGTGCTACTGGAAAGCAGGGAGGAAGGGTTAAGAAGTCGGGTGGCATTCCAGCAGAGCTCCGCTCGTACGCCACACTTGTGGTGGGGTGAAGGATGCCAACCTCCAGGGTGTTCTAGTAACAAATATATATACACTGCAAAAACCTTTTAACAAACTAATGTGTTCTATTTATGGTCACCATTAGTAAAGTGCATAGTGTATCATTATTTCATCCTAGTCAGGTATAAATATTCATTACATTCAATAAGCAATAACATTCAGTACATACAGATTTCTAACTACCAGACAATTTTGCATCAGTGTTTTAAAAGTCAAGCCCCAACGGGAGTTTCCAGAATTATAAACCCGCTTCTCCTTGCATGAAGTCTTCCAAAAGGGGACAGTTGTATGAATGCTTTTTGGCGGTCCTACAAAAGACACATTGTGCAGCTAACATTCATGGACAGAGTACTCCTGTCATTCTCAAAGTTGCAACTCCCGTTGGGGCTTGACTTTTAAAACACTGATGCAAAATTGTCTGGTAGTTAGAAATCTGTATGTACTGAATGTTATTGCTTATTGAATGTAATGAATATTTATACCTGACTAGGATGAAATAATGATACACTCAGTGGTCATTTTGTAGAAAAAGAAGTGCAGGAGCTCATTAGCATAACCCATTAGCATAGCTCCTTTGCATATGCCACACCCCCTGACATCACCGGAAGTGTGTCAGAAGGCAACACCCACCGCTCAGCCTCCACTGGACTCTTTTGGATTGCTAGCTCTTGGGGGAGGGGGAACGTGCAGATCTGCCCTCACAGAGGAGGGAGAGCTTGTACCTGAATAAAACTTGGTCTTAAAGGTGCCACTGGACTGTCTTGGATGGGGGAGCTGGGTGGGGGGCTCTGCAACTTACCTGGCTGCTTCTTGCTCTGACTGAGGGCTGCTGGGAGCAGGAGGTGGGGCTTGTTCCATGTGCCGGCCCCCTGGGCTCTTTACTGCTGGAGCTCTGCTCCTGTGCGCTCCTGCAGGAAATAACCCCTGGATACACTATGCACTTTACTAAATGGTGACCATAAATAGAACACATTAGTTTGTTAAAAGGTTTTTGCAGTGCCTATTTATTTGTTACTAGACTCTCCTAACACTGCAGCTCGGGTTGCTTCAACCTCCAGGGGGTGGCTGGAGATCTCCTGGGATCACAACCGATCTCGAGGCGACAGAGATTGGTTCACCTGGAGAAAATGGCCGCTTCGGAAGGTGGGCTCTACGGCATTATCCCACATTGAAGTCCCTCCCCTCCCCAAACCCCGCCCTCCTCAGGTTCCACCCTCAAAATCTCCAGGTATTTCTCAACCTGGAGCTGACAGTCCTAGGTGGGGTGGAGCTCCGTCTTGATTTTCGGGGGCTCTGGCCAGAAAGGTCTGCTTCTGCTGTCTGCTTTGGACCGGAGGGACCTTTGTAGGCTACAATGCCTTACAGTCAACCGTCCAAAGCTGACAGTTTCTCCAGGGGAACTGATCTGTATAGTCTGGGGATCAGTTGTAATTCTGGAAGATCTCCAGGACTGACGTGGAGATCGGCAAGCGTCGTTGCATGCCTGTTGTAAAATAGTCAAAAATTGTTTAATACTCAGACTATTTGATGGATCTTGCTCTATTGGAAAGAAGAGATTTCTTTGCTTTTTAAAAATACTTTATTCTAAGGGAAAAGGGTTCAGGGGATTACTACAAATCAACATAACACTAAGAGCTACATTTCTATGCTGCCTACAGACAAGACAAGCACACACGTAATGGAGGAGTTCTCCTTCTTCTTGACCCCTAGAAAGGAAGTCATCTGAAACAAATGGCCAATCTGCATCACAGTAGAAGTTACTTTTCCCGGGCTAATCCCCCATTGGCTTAGTGCCAGGTATCCCTTCCAGGTCAGTCTAAACAATAGCAAACTAGGAATACAAGTTAACCCTATAATGACTGAATCAGACCTTGTAAACACATACATTTCCAACAATGCCTTGGTGAAACGGATACCTTTGCCTTTTACAAAGTCCCACCTAATCTTTAGAGCTGACTTTACTAAGCCATGAGAAGACTGGATAGGGTCGCCAGCCTCCAGGTGGGGACTGGAGATCTCCCGCTTTTACAGCTGGTCTCCAGCTGACAGAGATCAGCTCCCCTGGAGAAAATGGCTGCTTTGGAGGGTGGACTCTGTGGCACTGTACCATGCTGAGGCCCCTCCCCTCCCCAAACCCCGGCCTCGCCTGGATCCACCCCCAAAGTCTCCAGGTATTTTCCAACCCGGACCTGGCAACCCTAAGACTGGGAAACTTTTAAAGAGGAGTCCTCGTGGGAGACGACGACAGATAGGGCGGCCAACCTCCAAGTGGTGGCCAGAGATCGCCTGGGATTGCTACTGGTCTCCAGGCAACAGAGATCAGATCGCCTGGAGAAAATGGCCACTTTGGAAGGTGGACTCTGTGGCATCATAGCCCAACGAAGTCCCTCCCCTCCCCAATCCCCACCATCAGGGGTCATCTCCTGCAGGAGCGCACAGGAGCGGACAGATCTGCATGCCCCCCCCCCTCCAATAGCCAGCAATCCAAAAGAGTCCAGTGGAGCCTGAGCGGTGGGTGTTGCCTTCTGACACACTTCCGGTGACGTCAGGGGGTGTGGCACATGCAAATAAGTTATGCTGATGAGCTCCTGCACCTCTTTTTCTACGAAATGACCCCTGCCCACCATCCTCAGGTTCCACCCCCCCCCCCAAACCTCCAGGTATTTCCCAACCCAGAGCTGGCAACCCCATTCAGGGAGCACCTGGCAGGTACAGACCCTTGCAAGCGTTTTTCATCCCCACCCCTCCTCTTTGCCTACATCTAACAAATCTTACTTACCTGTTCCTTAGCGGGCATCTCCAAAACTTCACCCCCTGGATCTGAGTGGCCACTGGCTTTGTCTGCAACGGAAATGGAGGGAAGATGAATCCTTCTGAACACCAAGGGCCCCCCCCCCCCAATTGGCCTTGTGGGTTCATTTGTTCTCTAAGCCCCAGTATTTACAAAGTGGAGGAGCTGCTTATCAACTGGCTCTTCAAAGAGGCAGGAAGATCAAAAGTTGTCTTCTGCCAGACACTGCAGGATTGCTTTTGTTGGATGGAACAGACTGGGCCACATCACTTAATGCCAGTGCCAGGGGTCATTTCCTGCAGGAGTGCACAGGAGTGGAGCTCCGGCAGTAAAGAGCCCAGGGGGCGGGCACATGCAACAAGCCCCACCCCCTGCTCCCAGCAGCCCTCAGTCAGAGCAAGAAGCAGCCAAATAAGTTGCAGAGCCCCCCGGTCCAAAACAGCCCAGTGGCACCTTTAAGACCAGGTTTTATTCAGGTACAAGCTCTCCCTCCTCTGCGAGGACAGATCTGCACGTTTCCCCCCCCCCCAATAGCTAGCAATCCAAAACAGTCCAGTGGAGCCTGAGCGGTGGGTGTTGCCTTCTGACACACTTCCAGTGATGTCAGGGGGTGTGGCGTATGCAAATAAGTTATGCTCATGAGTTATGCTAATGAGCTCCTGCACCTCTTTTTCTATGAAATGACCCCTGGCCAGTGCAGACATTGGGGTCTCGGGGGGAGGGCAGCAGAGAGTCAACAAAGGCTCGACAGGATGCTTCCTGACCTCTCCCCTTTGTCCACTCCTGCGGCTGTCCCTTTGTTACCAGGAACGATTCCTTCCCGCTAGCCACTTCCCTTCCCTTTCTCTCTCCCTGGCCAAATCTGCACTTGTCTTTCCAGCCGCTGTGCCAACGATCGTGCATTGTCTCAAAAAAAAAGTCACACCAGGTGCAAAGGTGGCTCGCCCAAAATATGGCAAGGAGGTGGTCTGGGACGACTCCTGGCGTTGGCCTATTTCTGCACTCGGAGTTTGCCCTTGCCACAAAAAGTGTAAATCGTTAATAAAGTGCCCCGTTGTTTGTCTCTCTTTATCCACCACTGGAAGGCTGGAAGGCTTTCTACAATCCCTCCGCACTCTAAGCTTAGATAGACAACCGGAATCCTTTGCACCGCCTTTCCTATCTTGTCTGGAACTCTCTGCAACAACAAAGAACTATTTCTTTTCAAAGTAACAAGCCTCAGGATGAACTTGACTACCTGGTAGGGCTGCCAACATCCAGGTGCGGCCTGGAGACGTCCAAGGATGACAACGGGTCTCCAGAGGACAGAGATCAGTTGCCCTGGAGAAAAGGGCTGCTCTGGAGGGCGGCACTATGCTCCACTGAAGCCCCTCCCTTCGTCAGCCCCTTTCCTGCCCAGGCTCCGCCTCCAAATCCTCAGGGATTTCCAGACCAGGAGGCGGCAGCCCTGCCACTTGTTCTGCTACTGTTACATCCATCCCACAAGGGATGCCAGCCTCCAGGTGGGACCTGGGGATCCCCCAGAATTGCAGCTCATCTCCAGA